AAGAACATTTTTGAAGTGACAGAGGAAATGCGCAATGGATTTTCTGTGCTTGCTGCTGTATTTGTAGCAGGCAGCTTCAATATTACCGACACAGGTAAACTTTTTATCGATGCAAAGTGTATATGATATTGCTCGGTGTGGGGATAAATGTAAAAATTTAGTGATTGAGGTTACATTACATATATCGCAATTGATATACAAAATCCGACGGATACCAAATAAACCAAGCAAATTAAAAAATATACTGATTGTGTTATATTTTAATATGAATATAAATCCTAGGCTACTATTTAATCATGTTCACATTTTCATTCCTTGCAGACACTGGTGCATCTGTAGACATCAGTGAGGAGTTCCTAAACATTAACCTGGTTTTAGTCACTGTGACTAATCCCAGGCCACACAAAAGGTTGACAATTCAATCTAAAGAGTCCTTGATCAATCTAAGGATTGTAGTATCGCTTGGTACATTCAGTGTGAGTACTGGCCAATGTTTGTCTATAGCTAACTTTTTTTATTAAGGCCATTTGAACATTTCCATAGTAGTAAATATTGCCGTACATACAGCTGATGTTTTGCTTGTTTGAGCAATCTTCTCCAGCTTGTTGAACGCCATTCGCAGAACTAAATAGTACAGTAGTCCAACTTCGCTAACCGCTCTTCATGTGAAAACACATCTCTTCTTGCCCTTAAAGCTTTCTTATGTGTTTTTATAGGTTTCAAGTCCCATAGCACTCAACAAAGCAATACCAGTTCTCGTTGCGCTTATCCAGTCTAGCATGACAAAGAGTATGCTTGAGGATAACATGAATGACTATGGTGGCATTAGTTATTGTGGAGAAGAAACCACAGGTACGTTTGTCGTTTTATGAAGTGAATAAGAGTGTGTAGTTTAGTTTTACGCCGCACTCAGAAATATCCCAGCTATATGGTGGCGGTCTGTAAATAATCGAGTCTGGCCCAGACAATCCATTGATCAACAGCATGAGCATCGATCTGCGCAATTGAGGTTTTATGAAAGATTCTCTCAATGGCATATTTAATTTTGAGGAACAGCTTAGACGATAAGGATTTGGTTGTAATAGTCCTTATAGGTCTTGACAAGAACAGTTGTTTGTAACAATATGCCAGTTATATGCCAATTAATCTGCCGGGGGACCTTTAATCACTTATAAAGATCGAAGTCAGATTGTCGGGGGATGCGAAAATAAAACATGTTGTGGTTGACTGTGATTTCTACAAACTAAACGTCAGGAAAGCTGCAAAAAGTGTTCATGTGGTTTGCCATTTTATCATTTCTATTCTCCAATCTGTGTTTGTTGTGGCTTACAAATGACTTCATGTCCGAAGGTTTGTGGGAGATATGGTCAAAGTGGGTTGTACGTCTCTGACTTTTGGGGGGACAGTAGGTAATGGTACTAGATGTAAGGTTTGGAACTATGACAATTTCTGAGTACAGTGTCACAACCAACAATACACATAATATGAAATATAACTGATTTACAATCTAGGCACAACAACGAGTGGTACAACTACGACATCAGGAACAACAACCAGTGGAACCACCACTACAAGTGGTACAACAACAACCAGTGGTACAACTACAACATCGGGAACAACAACCAGTGGCACCACCACTACTAGTGGTACAACAACAACCAGTGGTACAACTACTACATCGGGAACAACAACCAGTGGAACCACAACCACTAGTGGTACAACAACCAGCGGTACAACAACATCTGGAACAACAAGTGCAACAACAGGTATGAAAGTGAATGCCATAAATTAATCCCGAAACTGTGCTTAAAACTCAAACGGATCAGACTGACAACAAGCAGTGCAACTACAGCTGGACTTGCATGCATTGATTCATAAAAGTATGTGGTTGTTAAAATAAAAGACAAAATGCCGTACATTACGATATAGCCGTACCATGCCAGGTGGCACTACCCATCTGCATTCCCTCTTACAACAAGGTGTAAGTCATGTTTGTGTATTCATTGTCTCTTAATTTATTTACAGGAACCTGCACACGTGAAAGTATCACGGATGCAACTGTGGAAACAGTTGGTGATCGTTTCTTGATCTCTATTATCACTAAGGAGAACGAAATAGTCGGTGATCTGAAGTTTGGTTTGGCATCTGGTACTGCACAGTTGTTTTCAGACCTTCAAAGAACACCGGTAAGTAGTGTGACCATAGCGAGTATGTAAGTCAGACTCAATTAATATTAATTTCTCTTTGAATGGTATTGTCTACAATGAACATGCAATATTTGGCATCTCCATTTTTCTGCTATCAAAATATGTGTATAATTTCGTGTCCAAAGATAAAATCATAAGGTACAGTAGAATGGACACATATATTTTTATTGAATAGTGTTCTAGTGGCAACTCTTCTGTCTCATTCACGTTACTTATGGCATATTTAATCTTGCTTTCAGGAAGGGGGGACTAAATCAGGTAAGCTTTATGCCAATGCCATTGGCAGGCAATCCACAGCAAATGTTTAAGTTACAGTAATCACAAATTATGAGGAAGCTTTGTCATTGATTCATCTGCACCTACGTTCAGTGCAGTTACTTTCAGAAATGTAAGTTTATGTAAAGATAGATTCCTTCGAGAGTCAGGTTAATGCGTACCTAGTGTCCTAGGGTGTAATAAAAGTTACTTTCTCAGTCAAGCAACTAAAGAAAAGTGTTGACGAAATGGTAATATTGTGATGCAGTGCCTTGTCGCGGTAGCGAAATAGCAAATCCCACGAACTAATCGATTTGACTATGTTACTATACGATATGGTTCAAAGCAATATCTGTCACATTGAAAGTGTTCATTACTGCATATAACGTAAGACTAAAAGATGCATCATGTTACATTCCTTTTCCTTTAAGGATGTCAACGGAAAGAACATTTTTGAAGTGACAGAGGAAATGCGCAATGGATTTTCTGTGCTTGCTGCTGTATTTGTAGCAGGCAGCTTCAATATTACCGACACAGGTAAACTTTTTATCGATGCAAAGTGTATATGATATTGCTCGGTGTGGGGATAAATGTAAAAATTTAGTGATTGAGGTTACATTACATATATTGCAATTGATATACAAAATCCGACGGATACCAAATAAACCAAGCAAATTAAAAAATATACTGATTGTGTTATATTTTAATATGAATATAAATCCTAGGCTACTATTTAATCATGTTCACATTTTCATTCCTTGCAGACACTGGTGCATCTGTAGACATCAGTGAGGAGTTCCTAAACAGAAACCTGGTTTTAGTCACTGTGACTAATCCCAGGCCACACAAAAGGTTGACAATTCAATCTAAAGAGTCCTTGATCAATCTAAGGATTGTAGTATCGCTTGGTACATTCAGTGTGAGTACTGGCCAATGTTTGTCTATAGCTAACTTTTTTTTATTAAGGCCATTTGAACATTTCCATAGTAGTAAATATTGCCGTACATACAGCTGATGTTTTGCTTGTTTGAGCAATCTTCTCCAGCTTGTTGAACGCCATTCGCAGAACTAAATAGTACAGTAGTCCAACTTCGCTAACCGCTCTTCATGTGAAAACACATCTCTTCTTGCCCTTAAAGCTTTCTTATGTGTTTTTTATAGGTTTCAAGTCCCATAGCACTCAACAAAGCAATACCAGTTCTCGTTGCGCTTATCCAGTCTAGCATGACAAAGAGTATGCTTGAGGATAACATGAATGACTATGGTGGCATTAGTTATTGTGGAGAAGAAACCACAGGTACGTTTGTCGTTTTATGAAGTGAATAAGAGTGTGTAGTTTAGTTTTACGCCGCACTCAGAAATATCCCAGCTATATGGTGGCGGTCTGTAAATAATCGAGTCTGGCCCAGACAATCCATTGATCAACAGCATGAGCATCGATCTGCGCAATTGAGGTTTTATGAAAGATTCTCTAAATGGCATATTAAATTTTGAGGAACAGCTTAGACGATAAGGATTTGGTTGTAATAGTCCTTATAGGTCTTGACAAGAACAGTTGTTTGTAACAATATGCCAGTTTTACGCCAAGTAATCTGCCGGGGGAACTTTAATGACTGATTAAGATTATAATGAAAGGAATGAGACCACTCATTTCGTAATACCTGTACATCTTTATACGGAATCCGACAGAAAGTATCTGTCTGATAATATTGTGTTTGTTGTACGTGTTGTTAGCTGTATCAGATTTTAATGTATTAATTGCCAAAATTAACACCAGGAAATTTGCAAAAGCGAGTTGTTTTGTTTGCCATCTTACCATTACCTCTTTGTACCTGTATTTGTTGTTGCTGAGAACATAGTTTGTTTGTCTTAGACATGGTCAGAAAGTAATGAACGTAATATTTTGTGTGGCTTTGCATATACATTCACATGGTATGCTACGATTGCGGAGCCATTGTATGACCTTCATTCCATTCGCGAAGCATATTTGTGTTCACATTGCTTCACATTGCTACAGAAAGATTTGTATTTCATTTTCATGTCTAACCATTTCAATATTTTCTCATTATACAGCAACAACAAGGTCGAAAACCAGATGCCTGGGACATTTTAATAAAATTGGAATCAAACAACATAACACATAGAAATAAAGAGTTACAATATCAAAACTTGTGTTATTTCATGAATGATGCTTACTGATGTGTTAAATCACATACTGAATCGAGTGTTACTTTTCATACAGATCGATGTATTAAGTATTACGATTTATCAGGTGCCTTTTCATTTGCATATGAATTCTATGGTTTGTTTCTTTACCATGGTTTTCCTTATTATCTTCGTTTGCGAAATCTCCTGGAGAAATACCAGTGGGTAATTGCAATTTTTATCTGCCTTATTATAGGTTTTGAATACGTTTAACACTTGTAATCATGATGTTGAACTGGTTATTCATTTGTCAGCTGGTCTCGGCGCTTTGTGGCTGAAATAACACCATTGCAACGTTAAATTTTAACTCGCTCACTAACTCACTTGTTGTAGGAACTACTACCAGTGGCACAACAACAAGTGGAACAACAACCAGTGGCACAACAACAAGTGGAACAACAACCAGTGGAACAACAACCAGCGGAACAACAACCAGCGGAACAACAACCAGTGCCACCACGGGTAAGTAATGCCTAAATGTAATATACTTACTGAAATCAAAAAAGGTTCATGTAGATATGGTAGCCATATCTCCGAAAATAATTGACGCGCGACTTGCTACTACTTGAATCTCAAAATCCACAACACGATTGTGCAAACATGTAACATTCAGGTACTAATCCAACCGTTGGCACTACCACATTTGGTACAACAACCACTTGTACTACCACATCTGGTACAACAACCAGTGGTACTACTACATCTGGAACAACAACCAGTAGTACTAACACATCTGGTACAACAACCAGCGGTACTACTACATCTGGTACAACAACCAGTGGTACTACTACATCTGGTACAACAACCAGCGGTACCAACACATCTGGTACAACGACCAGTGGCACTACAAATCTGGTACAACAGCCAGTGGTACTACCACATCTGGAACAACAACCAGTAGTACTAACACATCTGGTACAACAACCAGCGGTACTACTACATCTGGTACAACAACCAGTGGTACTACTACATCTGGTACAACAACCAGCGGTACCAACACATCTGGTACAACGACCAGTGGCACTACAAATCTGGTACAACAGCCAGTGGTACTACAACATCTGATACAACAACCAGTGGTACCAACACATCTGGTACAACAACAACCAGTGGTACTACTACATCTGGTACAACAACCAGTGGTACTAACACATCTGGTACAACAACCAATGGTACTTACACATCTGGTACAACAACCAGTGGTACTAACACATCTGGTACAACAACAACCAGTGGTACTACCATATCTGGTACAACAACCAGTGGTACTACCACATCTGGTACAACAACCAGTGGAACTACAACATCTGGTACAACAACCAGTGGTACAAACACATCTGGTACAACAACCAGTGGTACTAACACATCTGGTACAACAACAACCAGTGGTACTACCACATCTGGTACAACAACCAGTGGTACTAACACATCTGGTACAACAACCAGTGGTTCTACTAGATCTGGTACAACAACCAGTGGTACTAACACATCTGGTACAACAACCAGTGGTACTACCACATCTGGTACAACAACCATTAGTACTAACACATCTGGTGCAACAACCAGTGGTACTAACACATCTGGTACAACAACCAGTGGTACTAACACATCTGGTACAACAAGAACCAGTGGTACTACTACATCTGGTACAACAACCAGTGGTACTAACACATCTGGTACAACAACCAGTGGTACTTACACATCTGGTACAACAACCAGTGGTACTAACACATCTGGCAGAACAACCAGTGGTACTAACACATCTGGTACAACAACAACCAGTGGTACTACTACATCTCATACAACCAGTGGTACTACTACATCTGATACAACAACCATTGGTACTAACACATCTGGTACAACAACAACCAGTGGTACTACTACATCTGGTACAACAACAACCAGTGGTACTACCACATCTGGTACAACAACAACCAGTGGTACTAACATATCTGGTACAACAACCAGTGGTACTACCACATCTGGTACAACAACAACCAGTGGTACTAACATATCTGGTACAACAACCAGTGGTACTAACACATCTGGTACAACAACCACTGGTTCTACTACATCTGGTACAACAACCAGTGGTACTAACACATCTGGTACAACAACCAGTGGTATTACAACTTGTGGTACAACAACCAGTGGTACTAACACATCTAGTACAACAACAACCAGTGGTACTACCATATCTGGTACGACAACCAGTGGTTCTACTACATCTGGTACAACAACCCGTGGTTCTACTACATCTGGTACAACAACCAGTGGTTCTCCTACATCTGGTACAACAACAAGTAGTACTAGTACATATAGTACAACAACACTTCAGGTACTAGAACAACCAGTGGAACTATTACATCTGGTACAACAACCAGTGATATAACTACATCTGGTACAAGAAAAACCTACTAAATCTGGTACAACAGATAGAGGAACTACCACTTCAGATAGAATAACAACCAGTGGTACTACGACATCTGGTACAACATAAACAAGTGGAAGTAACGAAGTACATGTAAACCATTACACGCATTGTCGATCTTACTACGGAAAGGTCACAGCAACATGTCGCTTAATATATGGACCATACTGATCATGCTCGATGCTTGTATAGGATCAAATGTAAAATCTCAATAGAATTGATACGCATCAGCTCTGTTACTGTAGGCTGAAAGGATTTATTTGCATCTCAGGTCAGAACATAATTAAAATTTACAGAATTATGAATAATCATATATTCTAAATTGCAATGTCTTGTACTACACTGTATTCTTTCTGAAAATCAGTGATTGAGTTTAGGTTTGCTCGAGTTTAGCAATATCACATCGGGGGACACCGAAAATGGGCTTTACATAGTGTACCCATGTGGAGAATCGAACTCGCGTGACGAGCGAACGCTTAACTGCTAGGCTACCGTATGGCACCGTCTATTATCAAAGAACAAATACAATTATAAAGAAGATATTTCTTTCAAATATTTCCCTCCTCGACGTGAATATCTGTCACTAAATGTTATTTCAGGGCCGCCAACATGCTGGGAACCATGGGGAGAGTGGTCCGCCTGCGATACTGGATGTAAATCTGTTACGGTTTCAAGGACCAGAAATAGAAACTGTTCTGATGACACCAGATGTACCTGCACAGAGAGTAAAGTGCAGGAGTTGGCATGTGAATCGGACTGTTCTACACGTAAGTTAGACTATCATTTGTATGCCTTTTGGAGGCCTCATGTTAGTTGGCACGACCTAGGTTCTCACACTAGACAAGAGTATACCTTATAGAAGCTACAAGTTAGTTGGTACAAGCTAGTTTTTTCACACCAGACAATAGTATACATTTAAGATGCTACAAGTTAGTTGATACAAGCTAGTTTTTTTACACGTGAACTAATTCTCTTTGACATAAAGGAACATTCACTATTTATTTTCGTTTGTGTAGCTGTCTGTGGTGAAAACATGAAAATCAGCACTAACTGCAATGAGACGTGCGAGACCTGTTATGGAATGCGATTTTCCGCTGCCTGCTTGAGTTCAGGGGACTGTGTCATTGGTGAAACATGTGTCTGCGAGGAGGGCTACAAGATGGAGGACGGCAAATGCATACCTAAAGAAGAGTGCGGATGTTACGACAGTGAGGGGAAAAAATACAACGAAAATGAAGTTTACCCATCACCATCCGGAAGCCCATGTGAAGAATGGTATTTGAAGTCTTTTCATATATTTCTATTAAATATAAATTTTATATTCTTGTTATAATACATAATACTGATAACTAAACTATCAACTTATAATTTGTATCAAAGCAAGCCTACTTTGTATACTTTGCTGTAAGTCTATGAGTGAGTGAGTGAGCTTAGTTTTACGCCGCACTCAGCAATATTCCAGCTATATGGCGGTGGTCTGTAAATAATCGAGTCTGGACCAGACAATCCAATGATCAACAAAAGGATCATCGATAGGAACCGATGACATGTGTCAACCAAGTCAGCGAGCCTGACCACACGATCCCGTTTGTCGCCTCTTACGACAAGCATGGGTTACTGAAGGCCAATATTCTAACCTGGACCTTCACGAGTAAGTGAGTCTATAGAGAGTGAGTTTCCTCCACATCAACACTTAACAAATGACGTTTTTTATTCCACCTGTCCACATGAGCTTCAGTGATGATAAGTTGTCTATTGTCTTTCTGTGCAATAACTGAAACCGTGTAACTGAATGGAAGAATGAAAGAATGTTTGAACACGAATGTCATTCAGGAGATCATATCGTATTCTGGTATAATCTTCTGCTCTGGATGGGAATAAAATACACAATTCTTTTACAATATTCTTCTTGAAATTTCAAATGTAGTGAAACATAGTGCTGTGGAATATGAAAATGGTATCTTTTAGCAGCTAATGCTAATGGTAGTAGAGTTATTCCTCATCGGTCGGGTGAGGAGATAATTTAAACCTGTACACAATATTCTGATAGTGTAACTTCTCTATTATCAAGACAGAAACATGTAATCCTTTGATGGATGTATCTTCATGCTATACCAATCGCTTTTTTTCAGCAAATGTAACAATGAGAAGAAATTTGTCTGTGGACCTAAGGCTGCATGTAAGTATTTACATTGTTTTGGTTATGACTGACTTGACAGTATACATGACTGGGGTTTATATCACATAGCCGAACAACTACTGGCATGTCAAAACACTGACTACGACTGGTACCTAACAAAGTTAAAAGTAAAGCAGTAGAATATTTCGTGATGTTTTATGATGTGGCGAACATAATATAGCAAGCTGATGTTTACTGTTATCAATTTGTGTTTATTATCTGTATTTTTACTGAATATATACAACCCTTTATTACATTAAAGACAGTATGCATTCAGATAATGACAAGAATCCCTGAGCAGCAGAAAAACGAGGAGACGCTCAGTCAGCTCAATCACCTTGTTGATTGTACAGGGCCTTTAACTGTCCTGCTTTGTTATAATGTCAGCCTGGATAAAATTTTCTCCTGGACAAACGGTGGCATTATAACCAGGGTATGTGTATGTCACGAGACTTATTGTGTGATGGGTCATGGGCGGATCCAGGAATTTTGAAGGGGGGTGGGGTGGGGTGGGATCAGGGGACTCGAACCCCTTGAACCCCCTATTGGCTCCGCCAACGCAAAAAAATCTTCAATGTGGTCTTAAGTCATTTTCAAAAGGGGGTGTCGAACCCCTTGGAAACCCCCCACCCCCCACCCTCTTGATCTCTATTATTAACTATGTTTTTTTCCCAGGCTGCGACTGGGCTGAATGGACATCGTGGGATGATTGCAATCCATCATGCGGAGTGAATGCAACAAAATCGAGGACAAGGTTAGTGTGGCCTGCTGATCACTTTTCCTCTCTAGGATATGTTTGATGTTTGGAATTTGAATATAGACATGATCCCATGTTTAACATACACAATGATACTTAAGAAACACGGTATGCACTGTATACATACATGTGTTACAATCTATAACCAAATATGTTTGTTTCTACAGGGTGTCACAGAGCGCAGTTACGTGCGATAAGCAGAACCCAGAGACAGAGACCGCCGATTGCGTTGTACCACTATGTCCCTGTGATTATCAGGGTGACATCATCAAAAGCGGCACTACTGTCGATGAGGAGTGTTTCACTGTGTACGTATAAACAAACGTTGTTGAAATGAACATCGCCAATAAAGGCGCATTTTCAAATAATTTTTAAAATCAGTGTCTGTACAAAAGAAGGCAGTTGTTGTCTTCTCAGTCTGAATTAATGCTTGGCGACTATCACGATGACCATGTCATTAAACCTCTCAGCTAGTATAAGCATTGTAACCGGCTTGGCTGATGGCGCTGTCAGCAGGAACAGCACAAACACGCAAGCTGGATAAGGACTCATGCTCTTGCATAAAAACATACATATGTTCTCACACATACATCGCAGAACACCTACTAAATTCTGCATGTTATCTTTAGCTTTTGTCTAATGAAGCCCACTCCATGTGTTTCAGGAAATGCGAAGACGGAAACGCCACCAAGGTTCCCAAATCACCAAGTACGTTATGCTAAAGAGTTAACAACGATTAGAACCTAAAGTCGATTGATCTTTATTGTCCTAATTTACTTCCAATGAAATGGCTAGTATATAAGGATAAATATCGACTTTCAATAGTCAAATCTTATTCATTTATATTTTTGAAAGTGTGTATTAAGCATTGCATGTCCGACTATTTTCCTTCCCTAACGTTACCTGTCCACTCTCTAGCAAACATAACAATGGCTCGGCATTGCTGATCTGGCTGTAATATCCGTTTACTCTTGCAGTTGATGGTACGTATAAGGAGTGGGCCGAATGGTCAACCATCACTTGTAATGGAAAGATGTGCAGGGACAGGAACATGACAAGACAAAGAGAGTGCGATGGCCCTAAATGCGACGGCAAGGAATGTGAAAACGGCCCCAGAGAAGTGGAGACAGAACCTTGTGGAACTGCCGAATGTAAGTTCGCAATCTTCAGTTGCCAGATTTGTTCAGACTCGTTTCTCTGAGGGTCTTAAGTATGTCAGGCCCATGACTAGTGTACCATGCAGTAATATGAATGTGCATCATAAAATTACTTTCATTTTAGCGTTCTGGTGCAAATATACAGGAAAAAAAAGTTAAACTGATTATAATGCACGACATACTCACCTCTCTTTCGTGAACTCAGCTAGGCTCGTGACGTCTTCAGTGAAGTTGAGAAATACATATCGGAAAGCCTAATTTTTCACAAGTCCTTTGCTAACGTTTAATTTCCAACCTAAATATAATGTGCGAGGTTCACTGATGCTGCTCTGAATTAGTGGTATTCACATTCAGGTGAATGATTTGATGAATAGAATATCATTCTTTTCTCTCACAGGCTGCGATCCTGTATGGACTGCTTGGACATCTTGCAGTAAGGACTGCATCAAGGATGGTGAAGCTTCAGGTATCAGGACAAGGAACTTCACAATCGCAAATCCCGACGACAAGAGCTGTCAAATTACTGAGCAGACCCAAGAACCTTGCGGAGAACCCTGCTATTGTAAGCTTCTGATCTACATAACAATAATTGTAGAAGTAAAGGTTTTCTCAAACGGCTAGCTATGTACCGTTTTCTACGTCTGCTAACAATGTAACGTTTACTCCACCTGCTAACATTCTCATGTTTACTCAGACACAGTGTAACGTTTACTCCACCTGCTAACATTCTCATGTTTACTCAGACACAACATTACGTTTACTCCACCTGCTAACATTCTCATGTTACTCAAACAATGTAACAATTACTCAGGGGGCTAAGTGTAACATTTAGTGGTGACGGCATCAAATAATGAGTACATATGCTTGAACGGTAAACACATATCATATTTTCTCGAAAAAGGCAACAAGTATATATGGAGCGAATGGACAACATGTGAAGGCACATGTGGACTTCAGAATGTCACAAGAACACGTGATACACAAAATGATGTGAGGTGCGAACACTTGGATAAATTGGAGACCCGTGATTGCTACGAGGAACCATGCAGTGAGTACATTCAGTCTCTCTCCTTTTATGAGCGATGTTGTTTGTTTTTATCATTGACCGTTTCATGAGATAAATTATGACAATTACCAACAAATATAAACACATTAATGTTCCCGTCATAGCCTGTGATTATTTCCAAGATAGTTAAAGCACAGACTAAGTGTATACACGTAGAAGAACATTATTTTTTCCTACGAAAAATATAAGTATTTTGTCCACTATGTTTTACTACATAGTTTCCATATAACTTGCTACTTGCTACTGTTGTATTATGGCAACAGGCTAGCTAAATAACGACCAGACACTTGACCAGACAATACAGTGATTGACACCAATATGCAGGAACCAAGTCTGGCCAACCGATCCCATTAGTCCCGATTCACTACAAGTTTGGGTTTCTGGAGATCAAACCTAACCGGGAACTTAAACCGAACGCCAAAATCTATGACAAAGTTTCCTTTTTTCAGTATGCGACAAAGCCAACGAAGAGTATAGTAACTACACCTACTGCCAAATGACTTGTGAAGACAGGAGCCCGAGGGACAACTGCGAGTCCCCTCCAAAACCTGGTTGTATGTGCACCAACAACACCATGAGGCGTGGTGCAGATTGCGTCACGATCGAGGAATGTCTAGACTGTGTGTATAATGGCAAAATTTATAAGGTGAGTTACCAGTTCAACGTCACTACTAATATTGTCTAGTCAGTGGACGAATGAGGCAGTAATGTCATAGTTATCCACCATTCGTGATGACAAGATGGCACTTGTCTCTTCTGAACCTTGTTAATGAAACATAGTTACAAAGAAATTATTGTCGCTGAATGTAATTGTTTGGAAATATGATCAATCGTACAGTCAATTATAAGTGTTTTAGATGATGTGATGTCTGTAAAGATACACTACTGCTGGACGTTTTACAAGACGTCGTCCCAAGAGTAACTTAAATGCTATTCAATTCTTCTAGAACGGAGAAAGCATCACAGATCCAGCCGATAACTGTACCAAGTTCATCTGTGAAGAAGGCGAGCCAATGCCTACTGATAACTGTGTAAAGTCATGCAATTCCGTAAGTTACGTTTTCTTGTGGTTATTCGGAAGGAGTATCCCTTTGGAGGGACACGTCATTTCCATGCTATCAGAGGTCACACATTGATCCTTGTGGACCCCTCTGCCATCCCCAACACACGTTCTCATTATCCTCAATTACCTGTGCGTAAAAAGGAAAGATGTAATGGCACGTAAATATGCAAATATGCGACACAAATATGTAAATCAAAACAATCTTAACTGTAAACCACTTTTTTTCCTTAAGAATAGAATATGATATTACCTATTTAAAAATATTTAGTGAACATTAACATGATTAATACACAGAACAAATAGGTTAATATGACAAGTTTAAGTAATTGTGCGCTCAGTCTTCACTTCGATATCGCCAGAAACATTCACGATCCCTAACTGTATATCATAACAAGTACCTGCATGTAACCAGCCAATTCTCGACATGATGTAAGAACAATCCCATTTAGGGTGAGAGAATAAAGCAAGTGGAGACTAAGTCATAACAGAGACAACTATCTGACAGGAAGGATTTGAATAGATATGCCTTAATCAGACAACAAGTTACACTGAATATATGGCAACAAGCTATCCATGCTCCCGGCAGAATTAAAGATTTATCAACAATAGCAAACTCGGTGTCAGCCAAATCAAATCTGGTGAATGTGAGTGTGGAAGAGTAGCAACTGACATTGTCCAACACACCCTTATGTTGTGCTCTATTTGAAAGAAATGAACTGTTTGAAAGTTTATGTGGTGTCATTTATGTGAACACCTTGGCCTGATGACGATGTCATTATGTCTTTTATGCTTGGAGGGGTACCCGACTGTTTTTCGGATGTTCCATTTGAAACGTGGAGAGATTGTATGTTCCTTATTAGCACGCTATTTTAAGAAATTGTATCATCTTTTGTATCCTCATTTCATTGTATAGATATCACGTACACACGTCTTGCTGCCGTTTAAATCAAATCTGTGTTCATGTTTAATGTTATCCAATAACCTGTAATCTTCAATCATGGAGAAAATAAAAAACAATCCATTTATCATAATATGCACCTGTATGTAACCAACCAATTCTCGAAATAATGTAAGAACAATCCCATTTAGGATCCCAACGAAAATGATAAATGAGGTGAAAATGTACACAAACTATTCATTCCAGGACACCGAAGATATGATTCTTGCTCCCGAAGGTTCTTGCTGCAAGTATGAATGCAGAAAGAAGACATGTCAACCCTCTCCTGAAAAGGTCACGATTGGCGTTCAGGGCTGTGTCGACAGCTTTGAGGTAGAGCAGTACTCCTGCAAAGGTGACTGCGGTCCTAGTACTGTCACCTTCGACGTGACTAATAATAACGCCATGGTGAAGGAGTGCAGATGTTGCATCCCTGTCGAGACGTCACTCAAGAACTACACCGTCACCTGCACTGACTCTTCTTCCCGTACCATCAGCATCAGGGAAATCACCAGCTGCTCTTGTAACATGTGGTACGTATAACAAGCTGCACACTTTAAATGTTTGGATTTCACGTCCCTGTCAACAGTATTTTCAAAACAGGTAGAATTCCAACGAAACAGGATAATACTCATGGTGAAATGAGGATTTGAACCAATATCTAGCATTTTGACACATTGACTGATGTAATCTCCCGTATTAGTACACATATTAGTACTTTGTCTCCATGTAATTAAACTTTTCACCGACCAGTGACCTTACTCGGTCATAGTGGTAGTTTCTTTACTTGAACACATTTCCATCTGTAAGGCTATCGTCTCAATGTGTCGCTGGTGGATTTTCTTAGTACAATCAAACGAACGTTTAAGTCTATCTACCCAAGTGCTATCAGATTCTGGTCTTTGCCTGCAATATGGTAATTGTGGTACTGAAGTCTCATACACTGAAATATAACCAAAGTGGTCCTGCTTTACTTCTTCAGAGGTTTGGATCCAGCATAATGTATATTATCTCTTATGCCGTCTCTATTTATGAGTATTCGCTTGTCTGACTATGTACATTGTATTGTTATAATGATGTAATTTGTCGTATTGAAGGTCTTGTGACTGTTTTTATTTCTTTTTCAGCATGTAAAGCAGAGGTAACCAGTCTAGGAATATGTTGAAACAAAGACTGCAGTGCTCGCTATACAGCGCCAGCATTATTAATTTATCTATGTATTTTTGAATTGTAATTTGAAAAGTGAATAAAATATGCATAATTATATAAACTGAAATGTCTGTTTTGTATTATGCAGTTATTCCCCATCAGGGTAGCCTTGAATACTTGTACACCGCCATATAGCTGGAATACTGCTGAGTGTGACAAGAAACAAACATTACAGGAGCGTGTTGTCTACGTTACTCATTGGGGCAGCCTAGTGGTTAAATCGTTCACTTGTCACGCTGATGAACTGGGTTCGATTTTGCAAATGGGTACAATGTGTGAACCCCATTTCTTGTGTCCCCGCCGTGATATTGCTAAAAGCTGCGGAAAAAAGCTAAATCACTCACTCTCACCCATTCATCTGCGAGATAGACTCGAAGCACCATTAACAAATTGCTTTTCTGTTCGCCTAGCCAATCAAACGGACACAATTTGAAGGTTTGACAAAGTGCTGCGTCTGTTGCTGTATATTTATACAGGAGGCGACCAGCAGATCATGTACTTATTTTTGGTTTTCAGTACATCAATATTGCAGAGTAAATACAATGTGTCGGTTTGCACATGACACTAAAACAGGGAGATGAGTACGTTATCAAAACTCCATATAAAAAGAATAGTCAGTGTAGGTTTGAATAGACCAGCACAACGCTAAAACATATGTAAGTTTGAATAGACCAGCACAACGCTGAAACATATGTAGGTTTGAATAGACCAGCACAACACTGAAACATGTAAGTTTGAATAGACCAGCACAACGCTGAAACATATGTAAGTTTGAATAGACCAGCACAACGCTGAAACATATGTAAGTTTGAATAGACCAGCACAACGCTAAAACATATGTAAGTTTGAATAGACCAGCACAACGCTAAAACATATGTAAGTTTGAATAGACCAGCACAACGCTAGACCAGCACAACACTAAAACATATGTAAGTTTGAATAGACCAGCACAACGCTAAATCATATGTAAGTTTGAATAGACCAGCACAACGCTGAAACATATGTAAGTTTGAATAGACCATCACAACGCTAAAACATATGTAAGTTTGAATAGACCAGCACAACGCTGAAACATATGTAAGTTTGAATAGACCAGCACAACGCTAGACCAGCACAACGCTAAAACATATGTAAGTTTGAATAGACCAGCACAACGCTGAAACATATGTAAGTTTGAATAGACCAGCACAACGCTGAAACATATGTAAGTTTGAATAGACCCGCACAACGGTGAAACATATGTAGGTTTGAATAGACCAGCACAACGCTGAAACATATGTAGGTTTGAATAGACCAGCACAATGCTATACCAGCACAACGCTAAAACATATGTAAGTTTGAATAGACAAGCACAACGCTAAAACATATGTAAGTTTGAATAGACCAGCACAACGGTGAAACATATGTAAGTTTCAATAGACCAGCACAACGGTGAAACATATGTAGGTTTGAATAGACCAGCACAACGCTGAAACATATGTAAGTTTGAATAAACCAGCACAACGCTAAAACATATGGGTTTGAACCCGTCAGCACAACGGTAAAGAAATTTACGGAATTGAACCCGTCAGAACAACGGTAAAGAGATTGCTGGTTTGAACACACCAGCACAACGGTAAAGAGATTGTGGGCTTGAACACACCAGCACAACGGTAAAGAAATTGTGGGTTTGAACACACCAGCACAACGGTAAAGAGATTGTGGGTTTGAACCCATCAGCACAACCATAAAGAAATGTGCGGGTTTGAACCCATCAGCACAACCATAAAGAAATGTGCAGGTTTGAAAACATCAGCACAACGGTTAAGAGACTGCGGGTTTGAACACACTAGCACAACGGTAAAGGTGAGAAGGAATGAGGTTAAACGTGGTACTTGAGAATATTTTGCTCATGACGACGTGCATGCGTGTGTATGTATGTGTGGCTGCTTGTACTAGCCCAGACTTAAGCTGGTTTTATAGTGCTTGCTAACTGAGATACCATGACGAAGTGAAGCATGAATACCCCACTCAGACACATTATATTGACTCTGAGCCGGCCAGTCCCTGTTGTGCCTATTAATGACGAGCGCCAGGCAGGGACCAACAAGTACCATTATTTAACGTCTTTCGGGTTCATGCGGCCGGGGATCGAACCCGCGACCTTCCCCTCTCCGGGCGGACACTCTAACAACTACACAACAGAGACGGTCCACAGCGTCCACAGTGTAGGTTTGCACACACCACCACAACCATTAACATGTGCAGGATTGCACATATACCTCAACCATAAAAATGTGTAGGTTGGCACACACCACCACCACAATCATAAACATGAGTAGGTTGGTACACACCACCACAACCATAAACATGAGTAGGCATGCACCATAAACATGGGTAGGTTTCCAAATATACCACTCCCATGAACATGTATACGTTTGCACACACCACCACAACCATAAACGTGTATAGGTTTGCACAAACCACCACAACCATAAACATGTGTAGGTTTGCACACATCGGCACAACCATCAACATGTGTAAGCTTGCACACACCACCACAACCATAAACATGTGTAGGTTTGCACACACTACCACAACCATAAACGTGTGTAGGTTTGCACCCACCACCACAACCATTAACATGTGTAAGGTTTGCACACACCACCACAACCATAAACATGTGTATGTTTGCACACACCACCACAACCATCAACATGTGTAGGTTGCACACACCACAACCATAAACATGTGCACACACCACCACAACTATGAACATGTATAGGTTTGCACACACCACCACAACCATAAACATGTATAGGTTTGCACACACCACCACAACCATAAACATGGCTAGTTTGCACCCACCACCACAACCATAAACATGAGTAGGTTTGCACACACCACCACAACCATAAACATGAGTAGGTTTGCACACACCACCACAACCATAAACATGAGTAGGTTTGCACACACCACCACAACCATAAACATGAGTAGGTTTGCACACACTACCACAACCATAAACATGCATAGGTTTGCACACACCACCACAACCATAAACATGAGTAGGTTTGCACACACCACCACAACCATAAACATGAGTAGGTTTGCACACACCACCACAACCATAAACATGAGTAGGTTTACACACACTACCACAACCATAAACATGTATAGGTTTGCACACACCACCACAACCATCAACGTGTATAGGTTTGCACAAACCACCACAACCATAAACATGTGTAGGTTTGCACACATCGGCACAACCATCAACATGTGTAAGCTTGCACACACCACCACAACCATAAACATGTGTAGGTTTGCACACACTACCACAACCATAAACGTGTGTAGGTTTGCACCCACCACCACAACCATTAACATGTGTAAGATTTGCACACACCACCACAACCATAAACATGTGTATGTTTGCACACACCACCACAACCATCAACATGTGTAGGTTGCACACACCACAACCATAAACATGTGCACACACCACCACAACTATGAACATGTATAGGTTTGCACACACCACCACAACCATAAACATGTATAGGTTTGCACACACCACCACAATCATCAACATGGCTAGTTGGCACACACCACCACAACCATAAACATGAGTAGGTTTGCACACACCACCACAACCATAAACATGAGTAGGTTTGCACACACCACCACAACCATAAACATGAGTAGGTTTGCACACACCACCACAACCATAAACATGAGTAGGTTTGCACACACTACCACAACCATAAACATGTATAGGTTTGCACACACCACCACAACCATCAACATGAGTAGGTTTGCACACACCACCACAACCATAAACATGAGTAGGTTTGCACACACCACCACAACCATAAACATGAGTAGGTTTACACACACTACCACAACCATAAACATGTATAGGTTTGCACACACCACCACAACCATCAACGTGTATAGGTTTGCACAAACCACCACAACCATAAACATGTGTAGGTTTGCACACATCGGCACAACCATCAACATGTGTAAGCTTGCACACACCACCACAACCATAAACATGTGTAGGTTTGCACACACCACCACAACCATAAACGTGTGTAGGTTTGCACCCACCACCACAACCATTAACATGTGTAAGATTTGCACACACCACAACAACCATAAACATGTGTATGTTTGCACACACCACCACAACCATCAACATGTGTAGGTTGCACACACCACAACCATAAACATGTGCACACACCACCACAACTATGAACATGTATAGGTTTGCACACACCACCACAACCATAAACATGTATAGGTTTGCACACACCACCACAACCATAAACATGCCTAGTTGGCACACACCACCACAACCATAAACATGAGTAGGTTTGCACACACCACCACAACCATAAACATGAGTAGGTTTGCACACACCACCACAACCATAAACATGAGTAGGTTTGCACACACCACCACAACCATAAACATGAGTAGGTTTGCACACACCACCACAACCATAAACATGTATAGGTTTGCACACACCACCACAACCATAAACATGAGTAGGTTTGCACACACCACCACAACCATAAACATGAGTAGGTTTGCACACACCACCACAACCATAAACGTGAGTAGGTTTACACACACTACCACAACCATAAACATGTATAGGTTTGCACACACCACCACAACCATAAACATGAGTAGGTTTGCACACACCACCACAATCATAAACATGTATGGGTTTGCACACACCACCACAACCATAAACATGTATAGGTTTGCACACGCCACCACAACCATAAACATGAGTAGGTTTGCACACACCACCACAATCATAAACATGTATGGGTTTGCACACACCACCACAACCATAAACATGTATAGGTTTGCACACAACACCACAACCATAACCATGAGTAGGTTTGCATACACCACCACATCCACAAACATGATTGGGCATGCACATATACCACAACCACAAACATGAGTGGGCATGCACGCACCACCACAACCATAAACATGAGTAGGTTTGCACACACCATCACAACCATAAACATGAGTAGGTTTGCACACACTACCACA